CAAATAGGAATATACTTAATACATTAGACATGTTTTATTATGAGCACTTACTGATCCAAATTGCTCTGAGCAACCCAACAGTGAAAGAAGCCCAGTGCATCTTTTATACAGTGATAGGAAACATTGTAGCTCTTATAGTTTCTATAAGCTGATATTCTAAAAACCTCATATTTTAAATCATTTGTGAATAATATTTGATCTCTCAGGTATTTTGAAACAGTATAATCTGGCCCTCTTTGGAAAAAGTTTGGACACCCCTGACCTATGGCAGCACGCTAGCGGGTGTGGCACTTATGCTGCATTCGGGACTAAGTGGGAACTGGGAATTTTCCGAGAACTTCCAAGTGGGAAAAATCAATGGGTTTGTTCCTCATACTTACCTGGTTAATATGTAGAACTTAGGGGACTGTAAAATAAAGCATTCTCATAACAAAAACATCATTTTCTATCAAGAGAGCTGATGAAAAAATAAGAGGTAATTATTGGAAAAAAATGTAAAGAATTCTGGGTCACTCTGCCCCCAGAGCTGCACTATTTCTATTACTTAAGACTGTGATTTTATCTGTTTATTTGAATTTAGGAAACATGCCCACTGAGAAGTGACAGTCACACATTATATGGACAAAAGTATTGGGACACCCCTCTTAATTATTGAGCTGGATAAAATTAAGCATATAGCCATGTAGTCTCGATAGACAAACACTGGCAGTAGAATGGGTCGTACTGATGAGCTCACTGACTTTAAACATGGCACTGTCATAGGACGCCACCTCTGCCACAAGTCAGTTTGTAAAACGTCTGTCCTGCTAGATCTGCCCTGGTCAACTGTAAGCGCTGTTATTGTGAAATGGAAGTCTGGGAGTCTGGGTTTGGCGAATGCCAGGAAAATCGTTACCTGCCCAACTACATTGTGCCACCTGTAAAGTTTGGTGGAGGAGGGATAATGCTATGGAGTAGTTTTTTATGGGTTGGCCTTTAGTTCTAGTGAAGGGAAATCTTAATGCTTGGTCAGCAGACCAAGACATTTTGGACAATTGTACTCATCCGACGTTGTGGGAACAGTTTGGAGAAGAACCTTTTCTGTTCCAGCATGACTGAGCCCCAGTGCACAAAGCAAAGTCTATAAAGGCCTGGCTGGGTGAGTTTGGTGTGGAGGAACTTGACTGGCCCTCACAGAGCCCTGACCTCAACACCAACAAACACCTTTGGGATGAACTAGAACGGAGACTGCGAACCAGGCCCTCTCGTCCAACATCAGTGTCTGACCTCACAAATGCTCTTCTGGATGAATGGGCAAAAATTCCCAAAGACACTCTCCAAAATCTTGTAGAAAGCTTCCCAGAAGACTGGAAGCTGTTATAACTGCAAAGGGGGCGACCAACTCCATATTAATGCCTATGTATTTAGAATGGGATGTCATAAAAGCTCCTGTGGGTGAATTGTGTAGGTGTCCCAATACTTTGGTCTGTGTAGTGTATACACTTACAGTGCAGCTGTCTAAACATTGGCTCAATCATCGAGAGTTTGATCCCCAGTGATGCCACAGCCTTCCATGGCCAGGCGTCCAAGCAGGGCCAGCTCTATGCCCTCCATCTGGAGAGACGGGAGAGTTTGCATGTTCTCCCTTCAGCCACTGATTACTGGAATTCTTAAATTCAGAAAGGCTACTGGACACAAAATGTTCATATTTGTTGGGCCCTAGTTGCTGGTATGAGTGCATCAGACGCAGCAGTGTTGTTGGGGTTCCAACACATTGAGTTCTATACGTCTAGAAAACAAATCCTGTTCCAATAGTACTTAGTACAAGCAATCAGACTCCAACAGCATGACCCCACTAAGAGTGTGGAAGAGGAGATTAGTGTGGCTGATAGATGATGATTTAATCCTCAATATGACTTCCAGTGTCAGTCGGATCATCTTCATTTAGATCAGATAACACTAATTCAGGACACTGAGTCCACACAACACTTATAATCTCTCTCTCTCACCCTCTTTATTAAACTCCTACTCTCATGCAAACGCATTTATATTCAGTCACACACACTCCTCCAAATTACACAATGTCAAGACAAGAGCATATTTTAACAAGGCTGGAACTTCAGCGCCTAATCCGTCCACACGCTCCTATTTGACACAGTGGAGGAAGGGCATGAAATAAGCAATTATTGACCCATCTCCTCCACTTACACTGCAGACTGCAGACCAGCGGAGCAGCTGACCACACGTCACCTCCAGAACGACAGAATGAGACTAATGAGAGACAGCGATAGAGAGAGAGGGTGAGGGAGAGAGAGAGTAAGTACTTTAAAACAGTCAGTGAGGACGCCTGTCTGATATCAGTTGCTAGACTGTTCCAGTGCCTTAGTGCAGCAACAGCAAAAGCCTGATCTCCTGTCAGTTGAGACTCTGACTCTCATTCAGAGTGACTGAGAACAGTCGAATGTAATTGAGCTGCTGACCTCAGAGATCCTGAAGGAGCACATAGACGGAGCATATCCAC